GGACATGACTGATGGGCTGATCCTCACAACATAGTTCTCCGCAGAAATACTTTGGTCAGAGGCTTAGTGTCCTTTTGGGAGACAATGAATCGATACTGCAGCCGGGTTGCTGCAGTGAGACGATCCTTCATCGATTGCTAAGGAGAAATGCCCAGGTACTCTTACCCGAGACGCTCCTAATTAGCCAGGGGTATCAGAGGGGTAGCCGTGTTAGTCTGAATCTGCAAAAGCGCGAGGAGTAATTAGCCAGGAAGCTGGAGCGGAGGAGGGAGTTGAAGGGTTTTCTGTTACTGACAAGCAGCCAGCGTGTGGATTGGCAGGGAACTTGCTGCTCTGGCTGCAGATCTGATGTGCGAAGCTAGGATAACGTGCCTTGCCCCACCTGCAGCAGAGCTGGTTCAGACCTTGGACCTTTTCGTGGTCTATATTCCGGGAGATTGTCGATGAGCTGGTTACGCAGCGCAGCCCAGTAGCAGGGCTGGAGACAGAAGCTGGCGTTAGACTCCTAAGGCCCCTTCTTTGGGGGTGCTCACTACACCGGCCTTCTCCCCCCCTCCCCCTCCCTACAAGCGCAGCCAAGCGCCCGCCGCGTGGGAACTCCTGGCGGAGGGAAGAATTCGCCCCAGCAGGGAGGCAACAATCCAGGTCGGTGTTGGTTGGTGTTTTAAAAGGTGGATCCGGCGCGTGTTTTCGGACCTGGCCGAATAAGAGGTCTCAGCAAATGAGCGGGCAAGCCGGCCGCACATTTATTACATGGTCCATTCCCACAAACAGAACCCGAGCCAGCTGGGGGACCTAGCCAGGCTGCCCTGCGCTCTAGCGCCACTGGATCACTTAGCCGGGTGAGCTGGTGCGCATCCCTTCTGCGTGTCTGCGCTAGAACCGCCTTCTCCCCGTCAGTCACCCGGGCTCTGCCTGATGTTCAGGGCTTAGGCCTCAGGGAGCATGCTGTGTCTACACTGACCCAGCCTGCTAAGAAGCCCACGTGGCAAATGGCTGAGAACTGAGGGGCCTCGCTGCAGGGGGGTCATTTATTTGGCACGACTCTTCTGTTCTCCTTGTCCGGGGGCCTGCAGCTCCTGTAGGTTCCGATGGGGTTTGCCGCGGCGGTTGTTTGCAACAGAAATAGTGGAATGACAGCTGCGTATGGGGGGAGGGAGGGAGCTGCATCTGGAGCTAGCTCGCAGGTCAGAGACTTTGGCCCTTGCCTGCAGGAGCGTGGAGTTTGATTCTCAAGCTACATAGCCTCCTCCAGCCAGCTCTTCGGGTCTGGCGTTTTAACTACTAGAAAGGCAAAGCCAACGTTTGGAGCACTTTGTAAAATCCAAATCCCTGCAAACCCCGCGGAACCATTAAGACATTTTCACGGAACATTCAAAGTCCAGGCTGGGCTGACATCTCCCTTAAATATGGCAATACCGGAGAGAATTCGGAGTCACTCCCAAGGTGGCTATACAAAAGAACCCATCCAGGTCACCCCATCAAACCGTTATTCAATATATTAATTACAGATAATGCAAAGCGGTACTAGCTGTCAGACACTGTAATGTGGTACCATTATTTCGCAAAGGCTTTTTAAATCACCTAGCTAGAGATCTCCCTAGCGTCATAATTCAGAACACACAGATATTTGTGCAGCGCCAAGCACAGAACACCTGATATGTTTTGTGAGCGCCAGAGCTTTACTGAAGAAAAGCTCAGGGTCAAAGGGAAATGTAGAGAAGTGTGGAGTGCAGGATCGAGGATGTACAGCCAATTTTATTATAACCACGACATTGTACAGAAAGACGAAAAGGCGTCTAAGAAAAATCCACATGCTGAAGTGTTGGAATAGGAAAGCTCAGCCCCGAAAATTTACCGGCAACTTTTCCAGCTTCAAAAAGCAACCTTCGGAAACATGTTAACTAAAGTTGTAAATGTCTTTGAAAGTCATACGTCATCCCTCTGGTGCGGACCCTCCTGAAATAAAATAGAGCTAACGACGGAACTGGTGTCATCTCCCCTGTTCGAGTGAAAAAGCCTCCACAATACTGGCTCAGCAGCAAAAGCCAAAAACACGCTGGACTCAATAATCTTGTGTTTGTGGATTACAAAAAAAAATCCTGAAAAGACGACTGGATTATTAACATTGACCCGAGAACAGACAACGGGATGTGTATGGGGTTATTTCCTGCGCCATCCACTGCCCCATCTGTAGCACTTGGCGTCTGTGCCTTGCCTGTCATTTCCTTGTCAAACGGGACTTTTCCCTGTCACCTTTTACACACACACACACACACACTTCAGTCCCCCCGCGAGACCCACAAGCATTCACAGCCGAAGGATTGACACACGCGCCCGATCAAAGAGCCCCACGCAGGCGTCCGGAGACACACATTCCAGTCACCCCAGCACATTCGGAGTGCCTTGTATCTTGCCTCCATCCAACGGGCCACTCGCTTGGCTCCGGTTGTTAGTCGCCTACCGGGGCCAATAGCCAACTATGCCAAGCCGCCCGAAGCTGCGGCTTGGACTCACGTTGCTTTGCGCGGAGAACACCTACTAAAAAGTTTAGGCTGCTTCTGTAGAAGGGAAACGTATTGCACAGCATCTCAAAGAAAGAAAGAAAGAAAGAAAGAAAGAAAGAAAGAAAGAAAGAAAGAAAGAAAGAAAGAAAGAAAGAAAGAAAGAAAGAAAGAAAGAAAGGAAAAAGGACATTTCCTCGAACCCCAACTTGCATATTTCCGCAGGCAGTAACTAGCTCAGGGCAAAGTTTGGGAGAAGTTCTGGAGCGTTTATCCGGGAGCCACTAGGTGGCAGGTGTTGATATAAACCCGGATTAGTGGAAAATGTAATTAGTTACCGAGGCTTATCTACTGGAGCCGGCAACCAAAAGGCCGACGAGGACGTGTCCGGTTATATCCACACGTTAATGAATGAAAGCACTGATCCCAGCAGCTTCCAGAGACCGAGCGGGACAAGGGAGAGAGTGATTCTTCCCCTTAAGGCACAGATTTCAAGTTGGCTCCATCTCCCGTTTTACTGGGGACCCGATCCGGCCGTTCTGTGCCTCTAGCCTGACAAATACTTGGAAATCTGTCTCTTTAGGCGCCCACTGAAAACCCCTCGAGGTCTGCAGCAGTGCGGTGCCAGTCCCCGTCTGCTGAGTCTGTCTCCCCGCTCGCCGGGCTCTGGCTGACAGAGAAATGCTACTTGGCTTAGTCGATGGGACTGGCTATTGCCCCGACTGACGGGCACCCCAGGCGGGCCGCCAAAGGGCAGGGCAGGGACGTTGCCGCTGATTCCTGAACTGCTGTCTGAGCCTCACATGCAAAGGTTGCAGATTTCTGCAGCCTCCCCTGCCTCCCCCCCTTTCTCTGCCTGGCGCTCGGCCCTCCCGCCTCCACGCCAGGTAAAGCTCCCCTGCTTACTGGCGTACGCAGCCCTACCCCGGCCCAGGCACACTCCTGGGCGCGCGTAGGACCCGCGCGCCGGCCAGACACAAGCGGCCAGGCAGGGGGGCCGGGAGCCAGCCTGCCCCTGCGGCAGCGTTTGCTAATTGCGCTGTTATGGATCCGCGTCCGAACCGCTCAGAAACACATTTCCACGCTTCACTTCTTCCCGTGTTGAAGGCGCATTGCAGCCCTACCCCGGCCCAGGCACACTCCTGGGCGCGCGTAGGACCCGCGCGCCGGCCAGACACAAGCGGCCAGGCAGGGGGGCCGGGAGCCAGCCTGCCCCTGCGGCAGCGTTTGCTAATTGCGCTGTTATGGATCCGCGTCCGAACCGCTCAGAAACACATTTCCACGCTTCACTTCTTCCCGTGTTGAAGGCGCATTTAACGGCTGGTTGGGGCTTGGCGGGCCAGCTGGGCACCACCCGGGTGTAAAAACCATCCAACAAAAGGCAGCGCGGCTGGGGGAAGGAGGGGACCCGGATCCGTGCAAACGAAAGGAAAAGCTAAAGCCGGGAACTAAACCCCAGTGCAGGAAGGGCCGGTTGCCAGTAGAAGGGGAGAAACACGCTGCCTAGGAGAGCCGTTGGTGGCAAAAGCCAGCAGTGCTGCCAAAGGCCATTATACAATGCTCCTAGAAAGGCGGGCAAAGAAATTGCTGCAGTTTCTAGGAAGGAAGTGGAGCTGCCTGGCTTCCCAAACTGTCATTACTTCAAATAAAGTTTTAAGGAGGAGGCAGCTGGAAATACTATTGCAAGCCTGGATCAGCCGGGTGTGTGTGGCGCCGTGTGAGGCTGCGTCTGCAGCTGACGAATTAGGGGTTTTGCCCACAAGAAGCTTATGCCCCAATAGATCTGTTTGTCTGTAAGGTGCCCCACGACTCCCGTGTTTATAGTAGGCGCGTGTTTAAAGATCGCTAGCAAAAGGGTCTGATATAATCAGCACAGGTGGGCAACACGAACGCGCTAGGGTTGCTCCTGCGCGCCGGATTTGAAGGCAGGACATCTTTTAAAACGGGACATTCGGACTGTGTTGCGTTAGGTACGTGGACTCCCGCCAACTTCGCTGTCCGATCCCAGTATTTGAGTCACATCTGTTCTTTGGCAAACCCTTGCGCGCAAACACTAGGACGGCTGAAAATCACTTTGCTTTTTCTCTATCAAATTCCCTTTCCTTCGGCAGCCATTCCCCAGGAGGAGTGCAGAGCTAGGCTCGGTTGGGATGGTTTTAGACTTGGATCTCGGATGAACACCGCCTCCCCCCCCACACACACACACACTCCCGCCGCGCCCCCTGAACTCCATGTCTTTCATTGCCCTGAAACATGCGTGTGTGGGGTGCAGTGGGAGATGGCCCAGACCAGACATAAGTGGCTAAGTAAGTGTGGGCAGGGTTGCATTGTGCCTGGTGAGTGTTTACATTTGCGGGGAAATAGCGATGTGTTTGTGAAACCTATTAAAACTCTCCAGCGCCCGCGCCCGGCGGAGTGTCCCGGGAGTTTAGGGCCAGTCCTTTCACAATGTTATTGTGATGCTGGGACTAAGGTCTGTTTGGTCTATTTTCCCCCCAACAGCTGTTCCGAACGCTGGCATTGTTACATTTTGTTACAGATTTGACAAAGGTCTCTCCTTTTCTCCCTCCTGTCTCCCTGGGTCTCTCCTCCTGGCCAACGCCATTGGCTGGAGCTGCGAAGGAGCGTGTCTGAGTCAGTTTCATTGAGCGGAATTAGCCGGGATGACATCAGTTTCCCAGCCCCCTGGCAGCACTTTGCTTATTGGTGCAGCGGCCCCTCCAGGACAATAACATTGTTCTCACCCGGCGCTGCTTGCCGATGTGCCTATAAAAACACCATCGAGACGCCCAAAGGTGCGTATTATTATTGTGATCCGTGACAACCACCAGCGGCGCCGGAGCGGGCCCGTTCTGCCAAAGGGATCGCTCTGCAAACAGTAAGTTCCCAGATAAATTGACTCCCTGGCTCCCGGGGGCGCTGCGGCAGCTAACTTTATACGGCAGGCGTCCCCAATAGCCCTGGTGGGCGACCCCCCCCCCCCCCCCCACCCACACACACACTCGGCAAAGGGCGCACAGCCGGTTCCGTCTCCGACTCCCACCGCCGGGGCGCCGTCCCGAGTGGAAATGAACCCTCCATTCGCCCAAGACAGTGGAGGGAGGGAGGTGACAGATGAAGCGGCAAAAGCGGGGGGTGTAAGTGTTGAAACAAGTACCGATCAGATTAGAAAGATTCTCCTCCCCTAACCCCCTACCCCAGCGACTCCAGTCACTTCTCCGGGATTCCCCCTCCTTTTGCAGCGGTTTGTCCTGCGTTGGGGCGCAATGTGTAACCCTCGGGAAGCCTGTTGTGCAAGAAGCGGATCTGAAAAGATCTCGCTGTTTGGCGGGGGAGGAGCAGGGTGGAGATCCAAGGGTGTGCTGTCGGATGCTGTTGAGCAACTGGGGAGTATCCGGGTGGCAACTGTGTTGTGGCGTGGAAGGTGGGAAAAGGAGGCTAGAGGAGGGGGCGAGGGAAGGTTGGGGAGTATCCTGAGAGACGGGGGCTGATAATGCTTCGGAAAAGTGGCAAAGGGGGCTTCGGGATTTGGTTGCTGCTGAACTTGGAGGCGAGGGCCCGAGGGAGCGGGGAAGGATGTCTGGGACCCTACAGGCAGGGGGACACGAAGGCTTTCTCAGACACGCTGGGCTGGGGACTGGTAAAAGGAGTCTGGGTAAGGGCATTGCTAGGTCCTGGGAGCTGCCTGGAGTACCAGCTAGGTGAAGTAGAGGCCGCGGCGCAGCAGAGTTTCTTGTCCCATTGATTCGGGGTCGCTCTCTGGTTTCTCCTCCCAGGAAGCCTGGTGCGCGGCGCTCTGCCCTCCCCGGGGCCATGGACTCCGACGCCAGCCTGGTATCCAGCAGGCCTTCCTCCCCGGAGCCCGACGAGCTCTTCCTGTCCGCCAGGAGTAAAGGCAGCAGCGGGGGCTTCTCGGGGGGCACCGTGTCCAGCTCCACCCAGAGCGACTCCCCGCCCGAGCTGAGCGCCGAGCTGCGCAGCGCCATGAGCGCGGCCGGAGTGGTGGTGGTCGACAAGCTGGGCTTCAAGTCTTCTTCCTCCTCTTCTTCCTCCTCCTCTTCTTCCTCCTCCAAGAAGGACAAGAAGCAGATGACGGAGCCCGAGCTGCAGCAGCTGCGGCTGAAGATCAACAGCCGGGAGCGCAAGCGGATGCACGACCTGAACATCGCCATGGACGGGCTGCGGGAGGTGATGCCCTATGCTCACGGGCCCTCGGTGCGCAAGCTCTCCAAGATCGCCACGCTGCTGCTGGCGCGCAACTACATCCTCATGCTCACCAACTCGCTGGAGGAGATGAAG